TTCTGAACTTCTGAATGTTTTAAACTTGGTTTTCATACCAAGTAGGAATAATGAGTTGAAATAACCCAATTCTGCATGAAATGGAAAATGCTAAAATCTTTGACATGAAGATACTAAACTATCTTGTTGCTACACATTTGATTAAGAAAAAGAGGTGTCAGCATTCTTAAACTGAGATTGTTTATTTTACTTTGGTGACTTTGCTTCATACACTGGGTAAACTGGAGGTTTCCCATTAACCTTCTATCTCCACCTCCAAGGTTATCTCCTACTGATTTGATTTGGCCATCAGTTTGCCTGTACCTGTGCTTGTCAGTGAAGCAGTCAGAAGAAAAGTGGCCCTTATGTTGTATGGAACCTGGTATCTGTCTCCTACCCTGCAAGTTTTGTTCAGCTCATATTGCTTGATGTACATCTCTGCATAGTGAACAGGCTGAGGAAAACTTCCTGCAGCCTTCTGGCCAACTGCACTAATGACCTTGGACTTGGAAGTGTTAAAGCAGAGAGGGGAGAAAATGTCTAAAGAAACACGTTGCATTCTGTAAGAAATATACTATGACTCTGTACTTTTTAACAAGTTTGAATAAGGTTTATAGCTAGTTCCACTGGGCTATTCCACCTCTGCATTCATGTAAAAGGAGAAGAAAGATTTTAGCAAAATGAAGGAAGTTGTAGTGTGGGTGGACCCCAGTACTCTCAACGTAAGAGCAATCCCTGTTCTGATGTATGATAACTGAAATTATAATACAAAATTATACTTATTTCATTTTGGTAGAGTCTTAATTCCCTGGTACTGAATTTATTTTTTTTTTATGAGACAAAAATCAAATTAAGACATCTGTATGTGTGTAAGTAAGCCAAGCCTTCAAGTTTTTACCATGTATTTCTTGAACTAGCTTAGTTCCAGATTGATTACTTTTTCTAGTATATTTGTATCCAGTGATCATCTTTATGTGCAGTTTAGTGATTTAAGCTCAGTTTTAGTGGAAGAAAAAAATCTCTTATCCTGCACTAACAAATGTTTTGTTTTTCACTTCTGTTGTGTTTGATTTAATGAAAAAAAGAAAACCCAAAGCAAAACCAGTTCTTAAGATGCAGTGATGCTGAATTATGTTTCAGATTAATAATTTTTGCAAGATGTGCAGACCAGCAGCAATGAAATTCTTTAGAAGTTTAAAGATCAGGATTTACCCCCCACAAACCACATGGCACAGTGGCAATGAGGGACCATAAAAATTCTGCTCTCGGGAGCTGTATTCTTTTCACCTAGCTGTAAGTAGTTAAAGGATACTGTCCTGGTATGTTGTCAGGAGCTCCACTGGTTCTGCTGCTGGGGTGAGCTGGGCATGCCTAGCTCCCAGCGTGTTCAGAGCAGAGTCAGTTGTCACTGTTCAATGGTTCCTGTATCTTGTAGCCCCTTCTGTTACAGGATACTGTTATCTGCTTTCTTTTTGCTTTAGAGAAGATGCATTGTCACTGTTGTCATAGAGTTAGGCTTTGAAATAGATTTCACAGAGTCTTTACGTGTCAAGATGAAGGCTGCAAATTATCTTCACAAGGAGACAAGTGAAGTTTTAAATATTAATATTGTAAGTTTGTTCCAAGTTGTCTATGCATCAGTTAGTGAGTTTTTGTCAGGGTTAGAATTACCTCACTGGTAAAAAAATGGCACATTTTTTTAAGAAGACATTTATTTCTAACCATTCTGTAGGATTTGTGCTGCACTGAAACATCTTTCTAGCTATACTTTCCCAGTTAATGATGTATAATGATGACTGAAAAGCTAAAAGATATGCTTATACTTCCTCTTCTCAAGCATATTGACCTTCATTTGCAGAGTGATCAGGAGGCAAATTATTTGTGAGTTTGTTTGAGTTACTTGAGAATAAAGGATCCCACTGTAAGATGAGAGCCAGACAGGTTTAGCCAGGTAAGAGCATATGACTAGAAAAAAGTCTAATTCTGAGGTGAAATGAAGAAGCTTCTATTTCATTTTTGAGCATGGGGTCAGGTGACTCAGAAAAAAACAATGATACATCAGGAAGGAAGATTATTATATCAGGCAGCAGCATGTGTTTCCCAGATTAGGCTTCTTGAGCAAAATTAGATTAAGATTTTCTTTCATCATTCTAATTAAACTATTGTGCCCTTTTCATTGTTTTAGGTCATTGTTGATGAATGACAGAGGAGTGCCTTGACTGCTGCTTCCCAAATATAATTAAGTTTGATGGTTTTCAGTGGAACAGGTTATCTATTTGCTGAATTTAAAGCAGCTGAAACAGAAACAGGAACTGTATATTTTAGAAGTTAAACTGTGCACCTGCATATGTTGGATTGGATAGGTTTGAATCTTTAATTTGAACTTTTTTTTTTTCTTTTGAATTACCCTTCATTTTCTAGAGTTCTTATGTTCAAGGTTTAGGCTAACCACAAACCACAAGTAACTTCTTAGATTTTCATGCAAGAGGTCAGCTGTACCTAATTAGTAGACTGCTGTTGTGTTGTGTGTTCAGAACATTCCTGCTGACTTAGGAGGTAATCTTTGCTCACTTAGTTATCCAGGCAGCTCCCAATAACGCTGTCTGGAGTGTGAGCTGCCTTTTGCACAGACAGAATTCATGCCCAACACAGAACAGTAATATGAGCTTGATATAAAGGGGCAGCTGTGATTTTGCAGTGCAGACATCCTAGAGTTCACTTTGCTAATCAAAACCAGAGAGGACTCTCCCAGAGCTTCAGTCTCTCTCAGAGTTAGATTTTATGCTGTTTAAATTAAATCCTGTCCATGAAGAAAGTTTAGGAAATCATATGTAAATGTCAGCTAACAATTTGTTCCATGTACTCTCAAAAGACTGACTACTGACAGCACTGGGCATTTAACATTTGCACTCGTGTTCTTGAGCAAGCAGTAACTGCATCTCTCTACCTGTAATACTGTGTTTGAGAAATATGGCCTGTGTTACAGTAATCCTTATTATATTGCAAATAACATCTTTAGCGTTGCCTTATGTACAAATTATATTCTGTACTTTGTTCTAGTGTAACGTGTTATTCACTCTCTGGTTCTAGCAGTATTCTCACAAGCTTACTCTGCATGTGTGGAATTTTTCACCAAATATGATCAGCAAAAATATTTACTTGAATTTGAGTGAATTCTTATTCACTAAAGGGCAAAATAAGACAGTTTACCAACTGAATTTGAAAGGAGTTGATGCAAATCTTCAATTACTATGTGGATAAAAAATGTAGGGACAGATGCCATTTCACAGATAATGGTTGACAAGCATAGATATGCTTGACAATTTCTTCAGAATTCTATTAATAGCCTTCTCCATTTAAATAATTCAATTCCATGTCAGATGAATATTGGTTCTTTTCTTCTGTTACATTTTGCACATTGCTGAATTCTGAGCAATAGACTGACTTTTTCACACCTTGCTAACAATATCTACTTCTTGTGTTTACTTTTTGGTTTGGACAATGACACTGGATTTGTATTCCTTAGGTTGTTAATACATGGTCTGTAAGTGCATGGAACATGGGAACCTCCAGATATTCTATGCATAAATAGCTTTTTCATGAGCAGTCAAGCTAAATTATTTTGTTTTCCTTTTTCTTTTTTTGGTATAGGCATTTGTTCTGAGTACACCACTGGTGACTCCAAATGCTGTTCCATTTCCTGGCTCTGTACAACTCCCTTATTGGGCTAATTAATGCACAACTGCACCCAATGCCTGTTTGATTTTTGCTAATGTGGGACATCTGTCTTTATGGGAAAAAGGTGCATGACAGAATGTCATGTTATTCTGCTTGCACAGCACAGCCCAGCCACAACCTTTTAATGAAGTCTTTGGGAACCTTTTAGGGGTACAGAAGCAACACACAAAAATATTTTAAACTTTGACTAATAAAGGAGTATCAAATTACCTGTCACACAGAGCTTTTCATATGAAGCAGGTTAGTGTTTTAAGTAAAAAGAAAGAATAGTTGTAATTTATTTCATCATAGTTTCATTGATCATTTTGAGAAGTTAGTTATTCAAAGAAAGAAAGGTGGAAATTATCAAATGTGTGAACTTCAATTACAAAATGGGAAGAAGAAAAACTTGCATTGTAAGTCAGTGACTCTACTTAAATATTCTTTGTTTTCCAGTGAAAGGGTTTTCCAGTCATAGTTCATAGGAAAGTGAACCTTTGAGTTGAGTTCAATAATTAAAATGTATGGTCCAAATTAGCCTAAAAATTGAATTGCAAAACTGAGCTAATGTAAAAATATATGCATAAGAAAATCAGAAAATTGATTTAAAATATTTTTATACCTACTCCATTATTACCTACAAAGAAATCTTATGTTTCTGGCTCTGCTGTCTCCAGGAATGCAAAATTATGGAAACATGTTGTATTCACTCCCCCTTCTCAAAAGAAAAGAAGGAATTTTTGCATACTTAAAAGCTGTGTTTTATTTCGAAAATTCTGTTTGAGAACTCTTTCAGTCCCCTAAAAGCCTGTATGTATCTATTTTCCTTTTATATGTGGAAACATAATTAACAATATATTATTTTGATTAACAATAAAACAATATGTTTGATTAACAATCAAACAATACCATTAAAACAATCAAAACATGAAGTTTAATTTCAAACGATGGTTTTCCACAATTTCTTTTAGGTACATTAACTAAATATAACTTTAACTAAGTTGTTCTGCATTGCTGTTTCTTTCTCAAGAGTCCTTGAATACATATATTTTTTACTGTTTTTCAAGAATAAATTACTTGCAGTTTTAACCTGTTCAATAAAATTATAGAATATAAATTAAAGAAAGAAATAGAAAGAGGGGACCTGTCATTCTGAGAGATTGATCTAGGATTTCTTGGAGAATAATTTTAGGAAATAATTCTGTAATTCTGATTTTAGGAAATAATTCTGGATTTTTTTTTCTTTTTTCTTTTTTTCTTTGTTTATTTTATATTTTTTAATTTTTGTTTATTTCTCTGTTCAGATGGAAGACGTCATAGCCCGCATGCAAGATGAGAAAAATGGGATTCCTATTCGTACAGTGAAAAGTTTTCTTTCCAAGATTCCCAGTGTCTTTTCTGGTAAGAGTCAAAGTGAATTTCATACTATTTTAAAGTTTTCACTCTGCCTTATGTAAGGAGATGCTCTAGTGGGAAACACTTTTAAATAAGTACTGTTGAGAGTTCAGTCATCTGGCCTGGAGAAGACATTCTTTATCCTTTGAAAAGTTCAGTTACAGAAGTTTTTGATGTTTCTCTCAGATTGGAGTAGGATTACACAGAGATGTTTTTCTCCTGAAAATTAGGTGAAGGGAATACTTAATTTAGTACAAAAAGTTAATTATCTCAAAATGGCAATATTTGTATGGCAGGTCCGGTCTGGTTTTTAGCCAGCTTCCATAGCAAGTATGAGTTTAGTGTATTGGCCAGTACATGGAGATAAGAAACTTCGTAGCAGAGGAACAAAGGAAAAATCATCACCACGCTGCAACTGATGCTAATTAGGGGCTGTGACATTTATTACAATCTTCGTGATCTGCTTCTGTAGCTCAGTGCCTGTGCCTGAGAAACTAAGGCTGAGATCTTTGTGGTGATTTGTAAGACAGCTGTAAACTTTATAGCTGGTCCAGGACGGTACAGTCATAGGCACAAAAATCTGTTTATTAATTATTTAGCACATAATTATTCTGTTATTTACATAATTTTATCACAATTTATGCATTTATGTATGTGGCTATATATTCCAGTGACTATTGAGTTCCTTTGAAATATATGCCATTGTTAAACATAATTTTTCCATAATCTGTAAGAGTGTATTCTTATATAGAAAGTATTTATACAAGTTCCTACTGTCCAGAACACCAAGAAGAATTCTATCTTTTAATTTTCAACCTTTGGAATGTTTTTGCTAGTGAATAATCCTGTCATAAAGAAGGATGGAGTCTTAAGAGTGAATAAAATTGCTTCCTGATTTTAGGAAATAGATTTTAGATTTTAGAAACTTGCATAAAAAATATCCTTTGGAGAATGGACCTTTATTTGCCATGAGTTAGTGCAGCATGGCATCTTATTGAATAATTCATATTAATTGTTAATTTCTGCCTTGACTTGTGTACTTTGGATTTCAAAATAGACTGACCAGAATGTCTTTCTTTTTTTCTTTTTTCTTTTTTTTTTTGAATAAACATTATACTTTTAAGGGTTGAGTTAGAATATATATACAGTTATACATAGCAGTTCCTGATGTACCAACTTTCTATTGATGCGTTAACTTTATTAGCTTCAGAGGGAAATAAAAATCATAGGACAGTTCATTTTTTTTCCTCTTTTCTGATTTTCTCTCTCAAATACCAGGGAGTACCAGTAATTTTTGCTGCAAATGACTACAACTCCCACCAGAAAAGCATAACTGTCATTTTAGTTCAATTAATCTACTTTTCTGTCAGTTCTCTATCCTGAGTGGAATCTGAAAGCTTCAAATCTATGTCCTAAGTCACTAATTTCTTTCAAATAAAGGACTTTATGTATTTGTAGCAAACAAATACCAGCTTGAACTCAAAACTGTTGATTTCTTAGAAACATGGGAATATTGTCTAAGGATCATGATGACAATAATGCAAATATATTAAATAAAAGCTTATAGTACTGTTAATACCCACAAAAGCCTCAAAGTAGATGCTCTTCAGTTAAAATATATATACTTATATGCTCATATGTTTTTATATTTGTGTGTGTGTGTGTGTCTGTGTATAGAAGATGTCTTGTACACATCCATTTGTTCTGTATTATGCCCCATGAATACTGGAGCTTTGCAGTTGTTTGGTATTTTTTTTTTTTTAATTGGGAGATACAAACTGGATAACTACCACAGTGAAATCATGTTCCTGCAAGCACTTAGGAAAGACTCTACAAGTCCTTGAAACAACTTGTAAAAGCTAAGGATGCCCATAAATTGTCTGTAGAAATTGGGTCTTATGTGATACAGTTTTAATTATTTTGTTATAAACATTTTTCAATGTACTTTTATTTCATGGTATTGCTTGTAAAAACAGCAAGTGAGAAACTAGTTGAAAGAGCAGTCACTTTTTATTGCTGAATTACTGACCATCTCTAAAGATGACTGCATTAGCAAAGTCAGCCTGAGGAATGGTGTTTAAATTTAACAGAATGTTGTGATTGTAATAAATATGATGATGTAACCATACTATCTCATTTACTGAGTCATTCCTGAAATGTTTAAACAAGTAAAATATCAACAGAGAGAAACAATTGAAATACAGATATTTCCCTATACACTATACAGATTTTTTTGCTTCAGAAAAATATGATCCTAAATTAAAGATTATTCCACTTTGTGAAATTTTGAAAATATGAGGAATCATTTTGCTTTATGTTGCATATATTCCATACATTCATAGAGAGCAAATAAACATTTGAAACTTTTAAGGCTCTAAGGAAAAAAGTAGGCAGGAGATTGCTCCTTCTATGTGATTATGCATTTTGATGAACAAAACAAGGACTAACTGGTGTTGTCTTTATGCTTTTGAAATGTTTTGGACGAGTGAAGAAAAAAAGGTATATAGACATCTTGCTGGTCAGCAATAATTGCATGAAGGTTGTCATGTGCATTCTTTATTAACATGGATTAGAGTATCAGGGATAAAGAGGAGGTGATTTTTGTGGTCCATGGTTCACCTTTGGACCTGGAAATGGATAAAAAATCCTGCTTGAAATGATGAATTTAGGGAGTCTAACATATGAATCATAGAAATTGGAAGGAGCTCTAAAATATAATCTTTATTTTTGCTAAGGAAAAATGCAAGAAAATACCAAAGCTTTGCTGTTCAGTTTGAAGCAGAAAGAATAATTCAAAGTTTACTGACAAAGCAATAGTTGTGGGTTTGTTTTGGACAAACAAGTCTTTGTGAGGGGGTGTGGGTGGTTTAGCATGTATAAGTGCTGAAAGCTTTGTAAACTAATCAGAACATGAATATTTCCTGAAGAAGATGTAGTGATGTCTTATGGTCATTATGGAGTATCAGTGTGATTCTTCATAGGACTTTAAAATGTGCAATACTTGGTTGAGCTTGGTGATGAATAAACCCTGTGGAGAATGTGCCAACTGAGTAGTGTGCTTGAGTGTAGAACATGAGAATTTTTATTGAAGGAGTGGGGAGAGCTATGAGAAATGTAAGTTCAGTTAAAGAATACACACAGAGGGAGAATAAAACCTTTTCAAGAATAACATGCTCATACTAGTTATTACTGGGTGTTTCTGATGCATGGCTCAATGATTTTGGAATGTAGTCACAGCTTGAACCAACAAAAATAGGAGAAGGAGATCAGTAGAAAGGTGTTTTTTTAGCATCTCCTGTGTTAAAGAGAAAATGAAAACATTAATTTATCTTTCACTGGAAAATATGATCCATGTAAAGTCTTTAGTTTTTTCTCATTCCTGTAGGTGAAGGTGATATGGTATCTTTTCCATATAAACATTGTTTTCCCATTTTTTTAGAAAGATTATTGCTGTCATATCTAATTTTTGTAAAATGTTTTTCCCGATCTCAGAAAATGCTTATTTCTCTTTTACCTGGGAAATAATGAAAATAACGAGATATTGCATTTTAATTAGCAAATGTATTAATATAATTATTAATTACCAGTAGCAGTATGCTTGGTAAGAAATTAAAGAATTTAGGTGTTTGAACATAAAAAAAAACAACTTAAAGCAGATTGGCAGTCTCAGTAGCCTGGACATATGTAGTGAGAGACTCTAGAGGAAATTATTATAATAGCTCATCATACTCACAAATCACAGGTGGGTGAGCCCAAGGAATGAGTCACAGGGGCTACAGGGGCTACCTGCAACAGTATTGCTTGTTATACAGAGAGAGGCAGCAAAAAATGAGGAGCAGTACAGTGAGAATTGGATGACTCAGGGGACTAATAACAGGAGAGTTTCATCTGTCATTAGTTTTGATCTTTTCCAGTTGAGTAATGAGTTGTTAACATCTGATGACTTCTCTGTACCACATGTGAAATTAGTTGATTGGTTTATCCACTTCACTACTGGAGATTACCAACCTGAAACACAAAATGAAATAGAAAGCTCTACTGCTTGGTTTGACAAGAAGTAAAAGCCAAAGGCATAACACTTCGATTGTCTGGTGCCTTTGGAGCTAAGTAATGTTGCATTACAGGTAAATAAAAGGATTTCAGTATTTATATTTTTGAGAGATTTTCCAGAGTAAATTAACCATTTCGGAGAATCTCGGATTCCCATCTCCCAAGTCTTGAATTTTATAGACCTTGTTTTTAACTACAGTGTCTCCCCTGCTGGGTTGATGACAGGTTCCTACTTTCTTGTTCCATCCATTTCTTCATCTTGCTTTTCCTGCACTGTTCTAAAGTGTGCTTTAATGGTAGAATCATTGCTGATTTCTTTGTGCCAAATGAGCCTCTTGTTTGCAAACTGAGCCTTCAGTGTTAAAACTGCAAGCTCACTCCTTGATGAGGTTCCACTCTTAATGAAATACTTGGATGAAAAGCTTGCTGTCAGTTCATGAAGGACAGGAGCTGGATCATTCCCTCTTCTGTGCCCTCTCTGATGGGCAGATTGGAGCAGGGACTTGCATCTCTACAGCTTCACTTTTCAAAGCAGAATTTCAAGATCAAAAAGCTAGTAAACCTCTATAACCAAATGAATAGTTTGTTTGAAGTTATACCACCAGTCTCTTGCATTTGTCATTTTGTCAGAGTGACTGATTTGCATTCAAATGTTCATGATCTTTTGGGAGTGGATAATATTTGTTCATGATTTTAAGAGTCATGAGTAGAAGAGATTGACTAAGTGGAGCCATAAGATTGGACACATAGTCATTTCCAAGTATTGGCATAATTAAGTGATTAATGAGTGATGCTTTGTATGCTTTACAGAAAAGCAAAGTGGATATTTGAGTGCTGCATCCCTTCACCTCCTGTTTCTGTTTGTTTGCCTGTCTTGGCCTCGTAACTGGGATGGTAACCAAGGGTGATCTTAAGCTGCTTAGAACTTGACAGAACTTTTGTATTTTATGAAAAAT